TCTTTTAGTAAAATTGAAGCCAAGAATATTCCAGCGGTTACCCCCATTTGAATAGATGGCGGCCATGTTGGTCGTTCCCACTTGCTAATAAACGCTTAAAAACAACAATAACTTTCATCATTTGAATAGCTTAAAAACGTATTTAGAATAGCGTTAACTTAATGTTTAAGTTCCCTGTTTGAGAAATAGAAAACATACGAATCTTCGTATTTCATGGGAACGACCTGAGACTGCAATCACGGCCTCAATTTTTGAATTGCAGAATAATTAGATGCACTATCTAGTGAGTGAGTAGCGTATATAAGATATCTATGGTCGAAACGAGTTCGCGCAGACGAAGCTGAATATTATGAACTTTTCACTAGTTCACTAACAAATATAGCATCTGAATTCCAGTTCTCATTTATTGGTACCATTTGCAGTCGGTAATAAATTTACGTGGTGTTTCCACGAACAAAAAGTATCATATGTTTTATCGCCATGCAATCCTACATTCTACAAAGAATTTCTTAACTTGCGTAATTAAATTTGGATTTTTAATGATTTATATGATGGAAGTTAAAAACAAAGCAAAAAATAATAAATCATTACATGATAAATAGACAGCGGCAAAAAGTTCGTGTATCAAATGATATTTGGTGACGGAACTCAGAAAGAATGAACCTAAACTTTAATACGTAAACAAGACGCTCTATTGAGCGTTAGTCGCTGGGGCTATTGCATATTATGCTGCATGTGATTGAGATTAAGACTGCTATTTGTTTGTTAAGTTTATGTGTTCATATAATGAAATTGTTTTTGTCAAAAATGGGATTCAAGGAAAAATTAAAACAAAGTTCATCAAACAAGTCCCCAGACTATAGACGATAAACAAATTTGTCTAAGTTTGGTTATATCCAATTCACAACTTTACATAAGTCACATGCCTAAGTATCATTGTTCTAGTGTACTGAAGCATAGAGTAGAACAAATTAAGATAACCAAGCTTTAGAATTATCTAGCTACATGAATGAATTAATGACTTTTATAGTGTATAGGGCTTATCAAATGCTTAGTTACCTCTGTTCTATTCTATGTGTGAACTACTGTAGAACACTAACTAGGCATGAATATT